ACATATAAGTACTTCCATCATGTTTGTGAACTTATCGTCTATTATTTATCATATCTCTTATTTGTTTTATGCTTTTTGTTTCAGCTTTGGATATACCACAATTGGCCGAACAAGTTAATAGCGTAATTCAAGAATTTAATCAGCGGCGTAGTTATGCAAGTTTTCGACAGTTTTAGCTACCGTTTCTATTGCCTGGAGTGATGTGCTAGCCAATTTAGGAAGTATACTAAATTATTTAAATCCTGGTCGTAGAGTTAGTAGAGATCGCTTATTCAGTACACTAGTTGTCATCATTGCTATTATTGACTTTTACAATATAGACTGTGTTATTGACTTATGGGATATTTATGCTGAAGTAGCCGAAATGATCTCTAAGATGAAGGCACAAGAGCAGATACAAAGGAATGACAAACATGACGAATTGAGGCGTTGACGGACTGCATATAACTTCTCTTCTCGGTGTTTGCATAAATAAAATCGGTATCGGTGGGGCCGCAGTGTTGTCATTGTTACACGTCCAAATTGTCCACACCAGTCAAATTGTTGTATTTTTGTCCAAATTACCATAAAAGGCAATTTTTCTTTGATTTTTACGTTTTTTAATAGATTATATTTTTTTAAAACATCTTTTATTATGAATCGACAATAAAACATGCATAACCATTTTTATAAATTTTATTAGTAATATCTATATTATTTATAAATTAAAAAAGTTGGGTCGGGTAGTAAAAAATTAACTATAAAATAACATAATAAAATTCATGTTTTTAAAAATATTTTTTTTTATTAATCACAATTTATTTTGTTTTTTTAATAGCTATTTTATAATATCTATATTTATTTACATAATAAAAACAAAAGAGAAAAAGTAATACCCATAAAAAAGAAAAATAAATAAAATCTATAAGGTTTATTTACTCTATTTTCTATTTCTCTAGTTAAATCTTCTATAATATTATCTTTATTAGTTAATATTATATTAGTGAAAATAACATAATTATATTATTTCCACTTAGTCTAGGTTATTCCCACTCAGATATGTGTTATGACAACAGAAATCTGATACTGTTGTTAGTGTCATGATATGTATTTTATGATTCATTTTTTACATTACACTCAGTGTTATATTTTCTGTTTTACAGTACACTTGAAGATGGGATGTTTATAATCTACTTGTTGAATGTTATATAGATTATATTTGTATTATTGCTTGAGAATTGCTGAGTCATGCATCAATATGATGTGTGTTTTGCATTTTAGAACATGCTTGAGTAATGTGCATTTTGCTTTTTATGACACGTATCAAGATGACGCAATTTGTATATTAATATCAGATCATATATAACATAATATATATCACTTTAGTAATTATGATCAATTTTCACATGATAAAAAATATATACTT